AATATATAATTTTATCAACTTTTGATGTTTGTTTATGGATGAATAAACTTAATTTTCCTGGTCAATTAATTTATTTTGATTATCAACAAGATGATTGCATTCTTGATTCTCAATCATCATCAAATACCTATGAAAATTCATTATCATCTACAAAATTAATTCGTTATAAATCTTATTATCGAACAACATTATCATTTCGTGATAATCCTAGTTCTTCTAAATTATTAAATTCTACTGAATTATTACGAAAAAATTCTTCATTATTATTAAATAATACAAATAAAAAATTAAATTCATGTTATAATAAAATAAATTTCAATGATAAATATTTTTCATATTCATATTTTAATTCTCAATTACCTGAATCATTAGAAATATATTCACATACATTATTTAATGGACTAAATTTAATAATACAAATTCTTACTTCAAATGTAATTGATTGTAAAACATATCGTTTAAAACAAAACAAAAAAATAAAAATTAATCATTGTGATTTTTCTTATGTTAATATATTTTCAACAAAAAAATTATCATTAAATCAATTTAAAAAACAAATTCAACTTATTGGACGTTATTCAACTATAACTAATGATTATCAATCATGTTATAAAGATAAAAACAAAGATTTATCTTCAATAGAAAAATCATTTTCATCAAAAATTTATTATATAACTAGTTTATTTGATGAACCTTTTCTTATGCTACGCAAACGAACTGTTCTATATACAAAATATAGTCAACCACAAGCAAATTCAAAAGAATTACGAGGTCATATATTGGGTTTTCATCAATTAGAAGGTTTTTGTGTTGATTTGGCAGAAAAAGTTTGTTCAGTATTAAATATAACATGTCAATTTCGTATTGTACAAGATGGACGTTTTGGAAGCAAAAATAAATCAACTGGTATTTGGGATGGTAAGTAATTAAAATTAGTTATTAGTAAATAACAATAGAAACTATGAGTAAACGAATTACAGAGACTTAATTTATTGTCAAGGATTAATTGTTTGCTCATAACTTGAACAATTCTTGACAAAAAAAATGTTTTAATCTTCTTTCAGAAATATTAGTTTTTGATATACTTGTCAATAATATAGACGAACAAAAATTTTTAGAGACATTAAACAAAAGTAAGCTATTAATATTTGGTATACCAAGTTTCCCAAAAGTCACGAGCATTTAAATATATACATGCAACTCCGCTACTGATGAAGTTTTATCAACAGAAGACTAGAGAGTTTTTATTCGTAAACCTCAAGTTCATCAAGAATATAGAAAAGGTAACATACATCGACTACAATTCAATATTTAGGCATCGAAAAACGTCCAAGTTTTAAATCGTAGCCGATAACGTTGCTTTTTTCTGAATTGCTGATGAAATGTGTCTTTACGAATAAAAACTCAAAAGTGTTCTATTTCAAATAGAAAAATAAAGTCGTTCATTAAAACTGATTATGACTTTTGGGACATCGTGTACATATTGAAGAAAGAAACAATATACGATTGATATTATTCCAATTAGAATTTCTATATTTTTCATTTGATTTCAGGAATGATTGGTGAGATTGTATATAGAAAAGCTCATATGGCTATTGCACCGTTAAGTATTAGTCAAATACGTACCGAAGCTGTTGATTTTAGTAAACCATTTATGAATTTGGGTAAGTTATTTAGAATGGAAAAAAACACAATTCTCTTTTTCTTCTTACTTAAACCTTTTCTTTTTTTGTTTAAAGGCATCTCTATTATGGTATGAATGAATTTTTTTTTCTTATTGTTTCATTTTTTATTGCCTAGTGAAATTTTATAGATTAGTAAACCTGCTGCAGAAAAACCAGGTGTTTTTTCATTTATGAATCCAGTATCAATGGAAATTTGGTTATGTTTATCATTAGCATATTTTGCTGTTAGTGTTATACTTTTTTTAACATCACGTGTTGTTAATTCAGGTTGGCAACGACGTGTTGTACGACGACCATCATATCGTTCATTTTCATATCCAAAAAGTGTTAATGATCGACGTAAAAGTTTAATTGAATCACAACGTCAAAAACGAGATTCACTTCTTTCGGAATATTCAAATGATTTACCAATAGTATCAAGATCATCAATAAAACGTCGATATCATTATCGTCCACGATCTACAACACAAAGTTTACCACATTTGAATACCAATCGGAATAGAATAAGAAAAGAACCGAAACAAAATACTGTTCATTTATTTGGTATTTCTAATGCATTATTTTTTTCATTTGCATCATTTATGAGACAATCAATTAATCTTGCACCAAAATCATTATCTGGTCGAGTTGCAGCAATATCATGGTGGTATTTTTCATTAATTTTTGTTTCATCATATACAGCTAATCTTGTTGCATTTTTAACTGTCGAAAATTTAGTTCCACCAGTTGCAAGTGTTGAAGATCTTGGTAAGAAGAAAAAAATTATTATTATTGTTAGTTGTGATTGAATAAATATTTCATTCTTTAAATAAAGATTTGGCCTTTGCTTTTTTTTTCTCCCTTTTATCTATCTGGAAAATATGTGTAGAAGACTTTTCTGAAAATAAAATTCTTATGAAATTTGACTTTAGAAATAATTTAAGTTTTGAAAATTGTTTGATGCTTTCTTAAATATTTTATAGCTAAACAACAAGAAATTAAATATGGTTCTGTCAAAAATGGAACTACATCAGCTTTTTTTGAAAAATCTAATGTAACCGTTTTTCAACATTTGTGGGCTGTAATGCAGCGAAGTTCATCTGAAGTATTCGTTACAACAAATGATGAAGGTGTAGCAAAAGTACGAAATTCAAAAGGAAAATATGCATTTTTTATTGAGTAAGTTAGCGTATATATATATATATATATGTTACAAAAAATGAAATTAATATTTAAAAAAAAATTTAGATCAACAAAAAATGAATATGTTAATGAAAGATATCCATGTAATACAATTAAAGTTGGTTCTAATCTTGATTCAAAAGGTTATGGAATTGCAACAAGATTAGGTTCTGACTTAACTGAAGCAATTAATATAATTATTACTAATCTAAGAGAATCAGGATTTTTGGATAAACTTAAAGAACGTTGGTGGTATGTTTTAATTTTCAACTAAATCCCCTTCATCCCTCCCACCCACTTCCCTAGAATAAAAGGTCATCTACAAGCAAAAATTTCACTAAGCGCAATAGAAGGTCATGATCTTTTATTCTGGAAGAAGAATTTGATTATTTATTTTCTTTTTCAATTCAAAGGTATGAACGTTCCGAATGTCCACAAGCTAACAAAGATAAACGTTTTGATCAATTAAGCCTTTCAAGTGTAACTGGCCTTTTCTATATATTCTTATTTGGTATTATCGTATCATGTCTTATTGCGTTTACAGAATTTTTAATAACCGCTAAAAATGAATCAGAAACATTGCAAATTAATTTTCGAGAAATTCTTCGAATAAAAATGATTGAGTATGTTATTGTTTTTTTCATCGATAAAAAACAATAGAAAAACTTTTCTTTTGTTTGTTTTAAAACAGAAATATGGTTGGTATTACAATTAATAAACAACGAGAACTTGAATGTGATCATGTTGATCAAGAATATAATTATCTACATCACAATCAAGAAGATGAAATAATCAAGCAATATACAGACTATCAATTGCATAAACCACAAAGTGATGTTTAAAAAAATGATTTCAATTTTCTATTATTATTCAATTTAATCAACATCTTTTTCTTTTAAATATTTAAATAAAAATACTAATGTTTTCTAAATGTATTGTGTTTATAATTTCGACAGACTTGTAAGGAATAAAATTGATGTATTTTAATCATATTCTTTTTCTTTTTTTGTTCCATCTGATTTAAATCGGACAAAACCACTAACTTACTGAAAAATCATTCAGAAAATGCTATAGAAATCCTACAAATACCCGATAAGTTACCATGTACTGAAACACTTCTCAGCAGGACACTTAACCGACATCCTGTGACATACTGATAACAAGGTGTTCGCAAGGTACTCTTCTGACAATGGACCCAGTTCATAGGCACCTTGAATTCAGTACATTCACTGATTCACGAGTGTTATTCCCCAGGCATTTACTTCTACGACATTTGCTTTTCGACAACTCTTACGAGGGAGCCTCCCCAGGTGACCCCCTCGGATTTCAATGAATTTTTGGCCATTGATACTATACAATGCCCTAGTGAAAACCGTAAAAGCATTTGAGTGCAAAGCGCTTTCTTCAAAATTTATGATCGTTTTACTGAATTTTGGGCTCATTTCTTGGTATTTATAGAAAAAATTAAATTACAGAATTTCGACCTGAAATTTAGCTGAATCGTAGGTCTAATGATCCTGAAAACATTCTAAAATTTTCAACCAGAAAGAATGTTCCTCTGTCGAAATATTGAATTTTCAAAAAATAGCCGCTCACCACAGATAGCTCACAAAAGGCGACTTCACTTGAGAATTCAATATCTCGACAAAAGAATATTCTTTGCGCCTGAAACTTTTAGAATATTTTCAGAATCATTAGACCTACCCTTCGACTAAATTTCAGGTCGAAATTCCATAATTTGATTGTTTCGATGGATACCTAGGAATGGGTCCAAAATTCAGTATGACGGTCATAAGTTTTGAAGGCAGCGCTGTGCACTCAAATCCTTTTAGCGTCTTTACTAGGGCATTGTGTAGTATCTATGGCCAAAAATTCATTGAAATCCGCGGGGGTCATCTCGGGAGGTTTCTTCGTTAGTCAGAACTACAAACCATAAAAAAGCCACATATTATCGGTAGTTGTGAATACCACGAATATGCCGGTGGTAGTACGAACAAATATACAGCATGGGGTATTACCTTGAACATTAATTGAAAAATTCTATTTCTGCAACTTAGCTTATTGCAAACCATAAATTTCAGAATTTTTAAGCAGAAATACATAGTTTAGTGCACTTTTCAAAGACAAAAGCATTTTAAGCAAAATATCTTATTGTCAATTATTTTCGTCACATAAGTTTGGACAATTGTCACGATGAATACAAGAGCTACCAGTACTGTTGCTTTGACGAACATAATCAGAACAAGCACAAAAACAACCAGCAACACATTGTTTCGTACATTGTTCAGGTTTATTATCACAAGTTTCAATGCAAGCTGGACCACAAGTTCTATATTTTTCATTATCACCACAGCATTGTTCTGGTGCAACACACTTACCATCTTCGGCTCGATAGTAACCTTTTTTACAAAAACAACCAGATTTACATAATAAAATACATGCTTTAGATGGTTTCGGTAATGGATAACGTATATCATCACAAGTTGGAGAACATGCAGAACCACATGTTGTATATTCTTCATTCTTGCCACATTTTTTAATATTCAATAGATCTTAAAAAAAGACAAACAAATTTAGAAAAACCAAAAAGAAAAATGTAAAATCTATACTGTCAAATGGAATTGCAACGATCGATGTTAATAATAACGATATAAGAATGGGTAACATAAAATTCATCACTGTCTTGTTTATAAGGCAAAATATATCAAATAATGATATTCTGTATGTATGCTCTACCATTTGCACTCCATTTCTAGAGTTATTCAATGGCATACAAGGTAAAAATAGAAAGGACCCGTGCATAATATTATTTTGATATCATGAGACGAACCATAAAATAATGAAATAATTATTTGTCCTACGAAAATAGTATTCATCGGTAGAACCAATATCAATTTGATTATCCCCGAGCACATTGTATGTAGGAATCAAGTATATAATGTAAAAAACATTATATTTTTTATGATTAATTAAATATTATATCGAGCATAGATCATTGTGTTCTAGGTTTAATCATATGTAATTATATGATGTTAATGACTTTTCGACGAAATAATTTCATTTTGAATAGATCGATAATAGTTCGAAAGCAATAATAAACAATCTACGTGCAACTGAAAGAATTACCGAATAAAATGTAACAGATAAATGCGTGACTTGAATATTTTGAGTGGAACGATCATATCAAAACATGGTTCAACAAAAATAATGAACTCAGAAATATTTTTCTTTATTATTTCATATGGATAAAGATTTTTGTACGAAGCGAAAATGAATCGTACATGAAATAAACTGATATACTTTAGATGTGTCTTGATCTATTCGTTCATTCATAGCTTTATTTTGCACACACAGTCAGAGCTGTACAAGTACGAGTACGTACTCGTACTTGTACTTGAGGATTAGTATTCGTACTCGAAGGATAAGTATTTGTACCCGGCGGTTAGTACTCGTACCCGAGAAAAGCAGTACTTGCCCAGTTCTGTATTCAACTACATATAAACAAATTAGGTGACCATATCGAATTGCAATTTATATCTCGATATATTTTTTCTATATCATTTTTTGATAAGTTTCGTGTAAGACAACAATTTTAGACATCGATAGACGATCGAAAACGGTTGACCTCAAAGTGGTTTGATCAAGATTGAACTAATTCGGCATCGGCAAATTTTAATATCTCATTGTCTGGGAATCCAAAAATAAGTATTATTAATTTGTATTGAACTAATAAAGTAATAATTATTTACTTTCTCAGAAGAAATTGACCAAGCCAATGAACAATAAATTCGAGATATCATATAAGAATATATTTCAGGTTCACTTGGAGAAATATATCGCAAAATGCGACATATTTTATATGCATATCTAGTTAATAGATGGCAGTACCTTGTGTAATCCTTCGGATCGTTACTATGTGAAAAATACATTTAATGGTGTATGCCGTTGATTTTTTTTCTCTAACAAAATAATGTTGAAAAAGTTTGGACCAGGTACCGAATATTACGCTGAAACAACCGAATTAGATTTAAAACGGTCATATATGTAAGTAAATAATTAAGAAAAAATTGATCATTTTTCAGATTTTACTTGTGTAAATTTAGTAAACATGAACGACAATCATTACTCGATTCTTCTATTATTCAATTACCAAAATCAATGCAACAAAATAATGAAACATTATTCATGTCATCTATTGAAAAAGCTCGAATGAGAAATGAAGCTTTATTAAAAGTAATATTATATATCAGAATTTTATGAGTTTCAAATTTTATCTATTGTATAGTCTATTCGCAAATTAAATAATGAAATTGATATACATTTAAAACAACCAGATAATAATAAATTTGTTACATTAAAAGTAAGAATTTTCCATTCGAATAAATAGTTATTTTTGTTTTTTATTAATATAATCTCTTGTTTTAGAGTAATTATTGGGATATGGTTAGTAAATTATTACCAGTATGGGAACGTGAATTAGCTGAATATGAAGAACGAAAACGGCATGAACGTGAAAATAATATACAAGATGTATAAAAAACAACAAATTCATTAAATTCTTTAGAACTCAGATCCTTGTAATCTATCTCCTCTGGAATATTTTCTTTTTGTTTTTGTTTTTTCATATTCAATCCATGATTGTTGTGTAAGTTGATCAATTAAAGGTATCATTGGTTCAATTGTTTTTGCTCCGATATTAAATTCATTGATTGGAATTAATACAGCCGGAAAATATTTTTTGGCTTCTTTTATATTCATTAGATTATCATCAAAAAGAGCAACGTGATATGGTTGAATATCGAATGGAAATGATGAAATTTGTTGAATTTGATTAATACAATTTTGTATATGCTCGATTTTTCCATAAGACCGACTAGGATATGATTCAATAATAATTTTATATTCCTGAGCAAGTCGTTTATCAATTGAATGACGAGATAGATTTTTATCGGTTAATTTTAAAAGACGACGAACTATAGTTTGAGTAACAATACCTAAGTATTTTAAAATAAATTTAAAATTGTATTCGTACTCTAAGATTACAAAGAGTAAAGTTCTAACATAAACTTAGAAAAATGACACGAATGATGTTTTTTATTTACTAAAGTTTGAAATGTTGCATTAAACCATTAAACTTCTTAACATTAAAAACTTTTGCTTCTCATCTAGTCTCTAACGTTCGAATTTATCCTTAAATTCAGTCATTTTTTATTTATTCAAAAAATGGAATAGAACTAAGTCGAAAGATAAAATTCGAAGGATGACTGCAGAAGGGTCTAGACCTATTGAAAAAATGAGCCAGAAGCTAAAGAGTCACAGATTGATGTTCTCAAAATTAAATCCACGATTGTTTCAAGATATTCAAATATGAATTTGACACTACACTCTACCTTTCGATAATTCCATGATGGCTCATATACCTCTAGCAACCGGTGGAACAATTATCTAGATACTTGTCTTTAATTAAACCAGTTGCCTAGTTTCCAAAATCGAATTCAAATGATTTGATGTGAAAACTGAACCTTCATTTCAGTTTAGTATATGTCTACTGTTCTCTTTTTCTTTTGAATTTCTTACGATGTTCAGAACATTTATTTTCAACATCGAGCGTCACAGTGACTAATTTTTCACTTCTTTATATTCATTTTATTCTTTAAATTTATCATAGATTCCTACCTAATGAGAGAAGATTCTCAAGTGTGAGTCGTCGATCGAGCGCATCTTTCGCTCATATGTAGGACTTGTCAAGACTCGGAAAACCCTAAAAGAATTCGTCATCATATACATTTCTTTGAATGTTATAGCTATTCTATTAACTTGCCAATTTCCGAATGGGTATTAGCTGAAACATTGAATGAAGAAATATTCATCCAAAACTCTGCCCATAAACTGGACTTACAGCCAGTAAACTGTTCGAAAAGTTTCAGCCAAAACGGATGATCTCTTGTAGATAAATTCATCGGAGGAGTATATCAATTTTTATAGAAAGACAAGCAAATCAAATCTTTTGCAGTATTCAATATTTCTAGAAGGGTTTATTCATTTTGACTATAACTTTTCAAACGATTTTCTGTAAAATAACTATAACTTTAGAAGAGCTTCACATAGGAACGAATTCTTTTAATATTCTTCTAGTCTCGATGCGTCCTATACATGAGTGAGAAGATGCACTCAATTGGTAATTCATACTTGGAAACTTTCTTTCATCAATAGAAAAGGATAATTTCATTCGACTACTCAATTTAATGTATAAATTTTGTAGCATATATATTTTCTATTTACCAAGATTTTCATTAAATGTAGTTGGTGTATTTTCATTAAAACTAGTAATACAAATCCATTTATGTTGAATTAAATATTTAATAAGCCAAAAAAATTGATTACGAATATAGATATTTTCAAAACTCATTGAACTTCCACTATCATCATCAATTAATGTTTTATCAAAATCGATAGCTAAAATTTTCAATGGACTACTAAGAATTTTTTTAGCTAAATTTATTATAAGATTTTGTTCATTTATTGGAATATTAATTTGTTCTGAACGTATACGTAAACGATTTATTCGAGAAAATAGATACATCGAATTAAAACACAGGACAAATATATAATGAAAAACATAAAAGAAAAAGAAAACGCGCTATGATAATAAAATATCAGCTGTTGTTGTTTCAATTTGTACAGTTGGAATATCATTTGATGTTTTATCTAATAGAGAATTAATAGCATGTTGAAATGCTATATAATGTTCTTTATTAATAAATTCATATTGTTGAACTGGTTCAATCTAATTTAAAAATAAAAATCATTGCAAAAATAAAAGCTTCCAAAAGAAAAATCTTACAGATCTTATAAACCATTTATGTCTCATATCAATCATATCTTTAGCACAAGAACCAAATCTTCGATGACAAGAATTAATAATTTGTGAACTAGATTTTGTTTGTAATTGTTTCATAAAATGTGTTAATGGTGATGATTGAAAGTCTATTTCATTTAATTTTTCTTTTTGTTCATTTGTTAATAAACGTTCAGATATACCAAGTAAATTAATGCTGTTATCAATACGAGCAATACGTGATGTTATTTGAGTATTTAATGGAATACGTTTATCACGAGATAATAATGACCAATCCATAGACATATAAGCTTCAAGAGCCGCTGAAAAAAAAGATTTTCTTCTTCTTCTTCATCGAAAGAGAAACTTTCAAATTAAATTTTACCTTGTTTTGGTAGAACTGGTTCATCAAGATGTTCTTCAGAATCTGTTACATTTTCTAAACCTTTTAGAGATTAATGTTAGTTTTATTTTCAATGAGTATATTTGTTTTTGTTTTTAATTACCTTTTTCTTTGCCACGTCGATATGTGGAACGTCTAAATAATTATGTAAAGTATTAAAAAAGTTAAATAAAGAGAACTTACTTTTTTTCAGGTGAAGATCTTGTTGTATCACGTCGATCATTAGTACTACGTGGTTTTGATGATGTTGATGATGATGCAGGTAAATTTCGATCTTTCGAATCATTACTTTTACTAGGTTTTGATTCTGATTTTTCTTTATATTTACGACTTGATGATTCATCTCGTGAAGAAGTGTTTGCAATACGACGACTATCCAGTCTAAAATATAAATGAAAACAAGATTTCTAAAACGACTGTTTGTGTTTCTTTGTTGACTAACCGATTGCTTGTAGATCGACTATCATTTCCATTTTTACGACTTGATGTTACTTTTCTTGAACTACCTAAAAGATAAAGTTGAGGTTGGTTCTCTTTTGTTTGAACAAAAAAAAACGATGGAAACAAATCATATACCATCATTAAGTCGTTTACGTTTTGTTTCAGTATTTTCACTTATTTTTTCTTTATTATGACTTTTATCTGAATCTCGAGATCGTTTATTTTGTTTCGAAGTATTTTTATCATTTTCATTAGTTCGTTTAACTGGTGTTGTTGATGTCTGTCGAACAATTTTTTTATCAATTGATGGTGCTGGACTTGAATCATCATCAAGAATAACGCAAATTGGTGATGGAGGTTGAACAGGTGTAGTTTTTTCAGTTTCATTTGAAAGTATAACAGATCCTTTTTCAACTATATCAGATGTTGCTGTTACTGATGGTGTTGGAGAAAGTTGAACAACTGGTGGAGTTAATTGTGGTGCACCTGTTAAAATAAAAAATCTAATTAGAATACGAAAAAAAAGAAAAATTTCAAATGACATACTACGTTCAGATTGTTCATATACGTTTCTAAAGAAAAATAAAAAAAAAAAAAATTATTTAATACAAATTCTGATAATATTTTGAAGTCTCTACAATCTCATAGCGACAATGAATTATTTAAGTTTGTTCAATTATCTCATATTATTGAAAATCGATTTTTTTTTTTCTTTTACGAACCTTTGATGATACGATGAATAGAATAATAGACATCAACGTAGCCATCTTGATTGAGGATCGATGAGATTGTCCTACGTCATCAATCATGTCTACATGCGTTAAATATTGCCTTTTCTGTTTTCTCTACGAACATATTTTACACGCATCTCTCTTCAATGTTTTCGTAACATATGTCGAACTGTGAGATAATGCTCCATGAAAATTTGCGCAATGTTATATAGTCTAGTCTTAATGATTTATTTCGATCCTATTAATTGCAATCTAAACTAAATAGGTAAGTGATTTGGTTTATGTGCTAATATTACAAATTGGTCAATGTTCTAATCAAGTATTTTTCATTATTTCAATATTTTTTTTGTTTTGTTTTAATATTAAAATATGTTTTATCAACGATCTATTATGTGTATTTCAAAGTATTACTGATCAATTGAGAAAAAAATTGATTAATTAAATAGAACGTACTGTGTTTTGTTTGATTGATGTTTTGTATCTTCTGCTTTAATTTGAATATTTTTATCATTACTTATTGTAGTATTAGTTGTCGATGAAGATGAATGACGTTTTTGTTGATCAGATGATGATTTATTTGGTGATTTTCTTTCTCGTTTAATTTCAATAGATTTTTTATTACTTTCTGCTTGTTGATGTATTGTTTCTGTAGATTTTTTATCTCGATTAATTATTTTTAATCCAAGAAATTCAATATCTGGATTTGATTTACTGTCTTTATTAGTTCGTTTAGTATTTTCATCTTTTTTTCTGTCTGTTATAACAATTGTTCGTTTTGGAGATTTATTATTATTTGATGGTATTTGTCGTATTAATTGTTCATTAAGAGTTACATCTTCATCACGTTGTGGTGATATGGGATCATGAATTTTATGTTTTGATGATGTTGAATGTGTATCAGATTGTTTTTTATGTTTATATGATGAATGAGTATATTCAGAATCTGATGCTGAACTATAAGGTGAATCACTAAGAACAAAAAAAAAAAGAAGTCAAAAATATAATTATGAATTTAAACAATTTATTTTCTACCTATCCATAGAACGTTTGCTTTTATTGGATGAACGATTTTTTTTCTTTGATGATTCATTTGAATTTGATGATGATTTTCTTTTTGCATCAGAAGAACGACTTTGAGACTAAAGAAAAAAAAAGATCTTTTATTCTTATGAAAACAAAAAAAATTGAATTTACTTGTTTACGATCAGAACTACTCAATCGACGATCTAAATTAAATTAATAGAATGAAAAATTCAATTAAAAAAAAAACAAAAAATAAGAATTTTTTTTGTTCTATACCTGACTGTTCATTTGATGTAGTACCACTTTCAACAACAGTTCGACTTGATGGAATAGAATTTGAATTTGAAACAGGTCGTTGTTCATTTGATACAGTTACAGTACTTTTTATTGGTGGTGATGACATATCAACAACTCTTGTTATTGTCTAAACGAATTAGAAAGTAAAGAGAAGAAAAATTCTATTTTTTTTTTTTTTTTGTTTTTCGAAATATACTTTTGTAATACGAAATTCATCTTTTGATCCTGGTTGTTTATCAACACTGAAAGAAAGCAAAACAAAAAGTACGATTCAAATATTGAATAATAATCAATTATTCATAATCTTACTTTGGTTGTTCATGTATAAATTTACAAGTATCACCTAACGGGCATGCACCAGTTTTAATATAAGTATTACAAAAGCCATGCGTCTATTAAAATGATTAGTATTAATTTAAAAAAACTATGTATATAATAAAATTACACGTACACTTTTATGACTAGTATTTGTTGTTCCAGAAGAAGGTGAACTATTTCCTCCACTGCGTTCGATACGATCAAATACACTTTTTTTCATTGGTGTATGAGACATATTCAGCGAATTATTATTAATTATATATCTAAATTTAAAAAAATTTTAAATAGATATTAATAAAATTGTTTCTAAGAGTAGAACCTTGAAAATAAGATTTTCTGGAAGAAAGAAAACTTACTTGCACTAAGAAGTTTTCTTAATGGTTAGTATACTTTTACGAATAAGAAATTTCTCATATGTGTCGCCACATTTTCCATTTGACCAGGTGATTCATTTCCCTTAGTTTTTTTTTCTCCTTGTCTTGTCTGTGTCATGAAGAACATTGTTCTGTTTTGATTAGTTTAATGAAAGTTATATTATATGATGAAATAAACAATGCTAATGATAATGTTTTCATAGGAAGAAATTACTAATTTTATTTTAAAACCAATATTAATATTAAGTATAGATTGATTTATAAGTATGTCGATGATAATATGTTTATTTATTAATAATAAATTAGTCAGGTTGTATATTTAGAAAATTTTAGAATAGTCAAATTTTTAATTGTTTTTGTTCCTTTTTTTAAATGCAAGTTAATAATTACTTTCAACGTTCTATGACAATTTGATTACAGTATTCTTTTTTTTTTTTGTTTCTACTTAACATTGTTTCAAGTAGGTTAAATATTTATTAATGATTTGTTTTTTCTTTTGAGTACTAAAGAATGAAAAATATTTGAGAAGTTTAATAATAAAATTTAAAACTTTAATTCTATAGTATCGTATTCGAATGATCAATATTTATTAGTTGATATTCAATACCCAATGATATAATCATGATTAAGAAATGTAGAAAAATAATTAATCTTTGTTTTTTTGTTTATGGTCCATATTTTACGAAATTGATTACTAATTATGATTGTGATATTTTGTTATAGATGAATGATTCATATGATATACCGAGTGAGCCTCGTCTCTCAAATACTCTTCAACTTAGTCGACCACCACCACAATCAAGAACAAAAATGAAGCAAAAAAAGATATTACCATCGACACCTGATACAACACCTAATTTACTTGGTCTTGATGATACTGTGCCGCTTGATAGTAAGCAATAACTATTATATATTTTATTTATAATAAAAGTGTATGAATCAGAGCATGAATATCGTCTGAGTCAAGTCATTAAACTTATTTTTATTTGTTCGCATCATTGCATAAAAACTTGAGTACTAACCTTTCTATTTTGTGTTGTTTTTATATCAATTCTAATTTTATCATTTGTTAAATTAATGGATGATTAATGTCAAATGATTTCATATTGCAGTAAAATTTGAACTTTTGCGAATAAATTTTAATACGACTAGTAGACTAGCGAGATAGAATATGTGATTAAAACATAATTGATAGACACGTTTTGTTTTCGATACATCTGTCAAAACATCGGAGAGAAAACATTCGAACTTTGGGGTATTCTTACCTATGAATATTGAAGACAAAAGTATTAGTTTCTGATTTCGTTCTTAGAAACCCATAACAATCTAGCACAAAAGAGACACACAAGAATATTTAGATAGTTCAAAGCGCTCAAAAATCCATTTAAAGCATTGCAAAATTCAGCAAGTAAATGAAACTTTGTTTATTTACATTTCGATAATTTAAAACTACTATGACTTTTTAATCGATTTTTCTAAAATTAAATTATGTAGATAATATCACTCTCAATAATTTTTATGAGTGAGAAGAATTAATAAATTTTGTCGAAAATTGTTCGTCTAGAATTTGTCAGAGAGTTTTCAGATAATAAAACAAAATTTTTTGCAAACACGATATAAACAATGAATGAAGAGAAAAGATCTAGTCATATCCAATCTTTTTCATAATTGAATATTAAAAATAATCAATTCTATAATTTCTGTTCTTAATTATTATTTTCTTTAAATTAGACTCAAGTATCGATACAAATTCAAATATTTATTTAACTCCACAATTAGTTCAAAATTCTACACCATATGCAAATCAATTATATCCATCAAATAATTTAATAATTGATGATTTTTATGTAATGCCACGCCAAGAGAACCCTCCTACATGTGATACATATAATAGTTTAGTAACTTTTACTCAAAACGATAATCCTTCCACATCATCAAATCCATTTGAAGCTGCTCAAATTTATGCCACACCACCAAACTTTGCTAAAAATTTTGTTCTTCAATCAAATCTATCATTTGATGATAGTCAAGATGTTTCAAATATTTCACTTGATTCTGTACCTGACTTAATCAATGATACTTCAACAACAACTGATATTTATTATTCTTATCCTGAACAACCAGTCACTACGGTAATTAACATTTTCTATTTCTAATTTAACATTTTCTTTTCACATAACAAAAGAACAATATAATATATATATATATATAAATGAGTATTGAATGTAAGTTTTTACAGGATAGGAACGAAAGAAAAAGAACTTATGAGTCAGAAAAGTATGCAATAAAATATTGCGTTGATTTGTGTTTTTTTCCTTATTGCTCGCTATTTTGTGTTTTCTTTTGTGTGCTTGTGTGTGCTGATAAAAAATAATGATCATTAATCAATTTGAGGTGAATAATTTTCTTCTATATGAATAAAATCATGTCTAACTTTAATTTAGCAACGTCAAAAATTTGTAAATAATAATGAAAATAAAGATTTATTTATGTCAAAATTAAATAAAGTTATTAAGCAACAAGTTGCTCAACGACAACCAAATTCAACATTAACAAAAAAAGATGAAACAAAAAATTAGTAAAAATAAAAAGTTTTTCATCAAAAAGAAAAAAATAAATAAATTTTTGTTTTTTTTAGTTATTCAACAGAACCAATAGAAAATAAAGGACCACTGATTTCACTAGCCACTGATGAGTTTGTTCATACATTAGTAAATAATGATAACGTTTCAAGTTCATCAGGTATTAATAAAAAGAAAAACACGTTAAGAATTCGAATTTTTTTTGCTTTACTTAAATTAAGATAAAACTACTGATTATTTTGATATTGTTCGAAAAAATATAAGTAATTGTCGATGTGCTGATTGTGATTGTGAAAATCCAACAATTGCTATTATGTCTTGGCTTTTAGTTATATGTAAAAAATGTGCTGGTAAATATAGACATATAACAGGTGTTACAAGAGAAATTGTACGAAATCTCAATGCATTTTTCTCGCGTTTCTTAAGAATTAAAAACATTCGCTCTTATGTCTAACCATAGAGAATTTCAAAATCTACGATATTGTTGACCTTGTTTCTCAATGAAGTTCCTCTTATCGGTGCAAAAATTTAGAAGAAGAATATCTCTACTTAGTCGTCCAACAGTGGTGTTCAACAAAAACAAAAACAAAAAACTTATGACAGTTCTTAGTAATAAAGGTCTCGGTGAACTTTTCGCTATCTCACAATCTGAATACATATCTTAGAATTCTAGAAAAAATATTTGGGAGAAACATTTTCAAAGTAAAATACGCGAAATCATCAGAAAAAAGAACTTTTTTAACTAATAAATCTATTCTAATTTCGAAATAACCTAGATATTCTCGTAGCTCAATTAAATGCTTATACCTTTTTTTGTTCAGAATTAAATTCTATACCCCATAGCATAATAAATGTAAAGACCTGACTTGGAAACCTTGAAAAGGTTGTCGAGGCATAGACGCACAAAATTCTCTATCTATTAGCTGTAAGTAATTTAATTTTTTCATATTGGCTTTGATATCCAAAGACTTTACATAAATCAGTAGACAACAGTAAAATCACTGAGTTGACAGTTTTGTATAGCTTAACAGTCTATATCTTTTGACATATGACAAGAAAATACTTTTTAAACTGAGAAAGAGAAAAAGACATTGGGATTTAGTGCAATTTATATTATGACATACGTTATTTTTTTTTTCATTCTATACATTACGTTTGTTTGTTTTTCTCTTTAAGCTGTCCATGATCTTTTAACATCAGATTTTCTTCGTTTACAATCACTTACAACAACAACATCATGTGATTCTGATTTAATTGACTTATTATATGATTATGGGAATCAATATTCAAATAAATTATTAGAAAATAGTTCATTAGGTATATTAAAACCAAATTATACATCAACACAAATTGAACGTGAACAGTATATAAGAAAGAAATATTTAGATAAACTTTATCTTCAACCATTAGAAATAAATAATAAAAATACTTTTACACAAGAACAACTTAATGAAATGTTATACGAAAATGTTGAAACATCTGATTGTGGAAAAACAGTACATTTAATTATGTTAGGGGCAAATCCAAATTATTCACAAAAAATGTTTGCTGTTGCTGATCATGCAAAACGACATCAACAAATTAGACAAATGAAAATTATTTTAGCTAATGGAGGTATATATGATATTTAGATAATCATATTTTTAACATAGATTTTTATATGAGAAAATAATAGAAAAAGTGAATGAAATGTTTTGACGGATGTTATAGAATAGAGATGGTAGTCTCTGGTTTTTTCCTAACAAGTTAATTTATTGTTACCATTTAAAAAGAAAATTTTTTATTAAAAGATTTAGCTAGTTTTTAATTCCTTACAAAATTGTGTATATATATTAATGAGAATATGTTTCATCGTTTGTTTTTATACATAACATAAACAATTACTAGAAAATATATAAATTTTCAACTGATGAAGAAATTACTCGAAATGTAACCAACCGTTTGAAATCCTATTGAATCGCAAGAATATTTTGATAAGTATAGAAAGAGTTTAAAAGGACTCGCCCCCATGGATCATAGAAGCCGAGATATGACTGCTGAACTTCAGTTTCGACTTTCTTTTCAGGTATTTACGGGAAATTAAAAGAATTTTGACCCAAGGTTGTGCCCATAGATGATAGGTTTGATAATTCTTGGAATATCCTGAGTTTCAACCAAAAACAAAACGTTCTTTTGTCGATAATATTAAATTTCCAAAAAATAGTCGTTTGTTTTAGGATATTATAACAGTATATTAAATCTATCTGTCGACAAAATGTCAGATTGAACACTAATTACTTGATATTTCAGTAAATACCGAAAAAATGAGTCGAAAATGCAGTTCACAGATCCATAGAAAAGAATTCGTTTAGAATTTTTTTTCTATCTTTACTGAGAATCTATTCATGGAACCAACTATGATCTTGAACAGCAGGTTATAATTGAAGCAAATTTCTTGTAAGTCTTTTTGCGAACTTAAATTATTATTTCTATTTATTTACTACACAAAAATTTTCTTTCGTATTCGATAGCATAACTAATTTGATACGTTTCTTGTTTGAAGATTGATGATTCTTATCAGTACAATGCATAAAAATGTCATGATTGAATTGAGTAATGACATATGATTGTGATTTATAATGTTTGACACTTCAGTCATCGAAAAGAAAAATATCGTTTTCTTATCATTTAATGACGTTGGATTTTTTTGTAATGTATAAATCATGAACAAAATATATTTTCTAAGATAAAATGCAAATTGTAATAATTTGATATAAAGTCAAGAATCAACATTTAATTCAATGATAGAATCATGACAATTTTTCATCTTGTATTGATAAGAATTATTATTTTTTGAGCAATCAATGCACATATTCATTGTAGTATTTATTTTAAATAAAATTTGTTTAGAAATAAATCAATGTTAAAAATAATATTACTTGAACAATAAAATTTCGTCCGAAGGTCTTGAAACTCATACTTTGACTATAGATAGATTTAAATATGACTATCAAAGGTCGAAAAGAATTTGCACTCACAGGCCTACAATAAAATCGTTATAAATTTTGACTAATACATTATGAGCACTAGGGTTTTTTTAAAAAGTTTTTCTTAGTGGCTTTGAGTTCTGCCCAAGCAAACAAGAATGTCTGGACACATACTTAAACGTCGTAATTCCGAATTCTTTTTTGAGAGTTTTCAAGCTCATTCAGAAAAAACGAAAAGCAATTACTCTTATCATACAAGATACGAAAAAATGATTAAAAAGACAAAGGACGGGGGCGTATAAGGGTCATTTTTGGGCCCTCGTCAATTTTGGTTGATTCATAGTTTACTAGATGCAGAATTTCACGAGGAATCGTTTGGTATCAAAATAAAGCTATTTCAGAAGAGTCTAGATGGACTTTTGCTGAAAATACTAACATATATTTTGTACCATAAATCGATCATTCATACATGGACATGTGATCCATGTAAATTTTCCTATCTTAAGATATATCGAACCGAAAATTATGTCATTCGACTAATTACTCTAGAGTCTATCTCTGGTAAAATTTTCAGCTCAAACGGTTAAAGTGTTGATGAGTAATGATGAAAATATTGTAACACATCAGCGTGAAAATCATATACTATGTTATCACTTCTGTTCACTGCTTTCTCAATATCTCCAGAAAGGAAAAAAACAAAATGGGTTTTTGATAGATTCTGAAAGCCCGGAAATAGGGTTACAAAATCAAATATTTTTTGATATTTTTAGAGGTGGCCTTTCATAAATAAGATCAGTTGACTTTTGTTTAGACACCATTTTTTGCATTTTTTGGCCAGCATTTCACAGATTTCAGTAGGAAAAAGTATAATTTCAGTCAAAATTAATAATATATTTGGAATCAGCACGAAAAACGGAGTCGACTTATATGTGTTTCAAAATGTTCCGTCGTACTTTTTTTTCTTGAAAAATTCACCTGGAGTCCCCCTCAGGGTTCGATCAAAAAATTAATATAACGAGAAAATCATTTGAATGGTACAAAACAATTTCAAAACTTGTGAAATGTTCTCACTAGAGACCTGCGGAGGACTCCGGAATCCGATTGCGACTCCGACTCCGACTCCGTCGGAGTCGGGTTTGCTGAAAAAAATTTTTCGGGTTCGGAGTCGGAGTCAATTACAAGTTCGGGTCCGATATTTTTTTTTTCGATTTACCAAAACTTAATTTTTAACATTAGTAAATAGAAAAATAAAGCGTAATATCTGTCACATAGAGTTATATCACTTGTAGAACAGAAAGATGAGCGAATCACTTTCCAGTTATGACACTCGAATGATCAAATGAGATGAAAACATAACAACATTAGTCAAAAAAGATATATTAATATCATTCAAAGTACTACGACTATCTTCATTTTTAGTTCTTCCTTGTTTAGACGAAGAACATCCAAGGCGGCTAAAATCAGTAACAGAAACGCGTTTTTAGGAGCAAAACTGTGGATTTTTTACACATTCAAAAAGGNAGGGGTGGTACGTTTACGTTAATTTAAAATTAACGTTAACTAAAATCGTTAACCGTTAATATTAACGGTTAACGGTTTCCCTAGAAAAGTTAATTCGTTAATATAACGGTTAACGGTTTTAGTTAACGTTAATATTAACGTTAACGGTTTTTAGTTAACCGTTAATGCATTGTAAATTAACTCATTAACGTATAGACAACAATTATATATCATTTAATTTCGAATTTTTAATGAAAAAATCGACGTTCATACAATAACTATTTTCATGGTGTAGATGAGGATGTGAGTGTGAACTACTCTGAAAAAAAATAAAGGAGTGTTGCAGAACCTTTTGTGGTTCTGCAGCACATGCAGAACCATTTTATGGTTCAACAGTACCTGCAGAACCTTTTTATGGTTCTGTATGAAACTACTGAACCGTAAAAAGTTCTACCCAATAATGTTGAACCAGAAAAAGTTCTGCGTAACAATGCTGAATCAATAAAGGTTTTGCTCCATAATGGTGAACCATGAAGGCTTCTCTCCCTAATCATAATGAACCATGAAAGGTTCCGTCCGATAATGTCGAACCATAAAAAATTCTCCGTAATAATGTTGAACCAATAAGGTTCTGCCCGCTAATAGTGAACCATAAAGGTTCTGTGCCCATAAGTGCTGAAGTATTAAAGGTTCCGCCTGATAACATCGAGCCATTAAATGTTTTGTCCATGACAGCCACTCATGAAGGGTTCTCTACTCAATCATGCTGAACCATGTAAGGTTCTGTCCAACAATGCTGACTCATAAAAGGTTCTGCCAAATAATGCTGAACCATAAAAAGTTTTCCGACCAGATATAATAAACCATAGAAGTTTCTGCCAGTTGGGCATAAATCTTCATGGTTTCTTAGTCAAAATATGGAACTACAAAAGAGTTTGGTAGAAAATAAATGATTCGGCATGGTACTTATTCGGAAAACTTTTTCTAAGAAGACTGTACGAAACTCGTTTTTTCCCTAGACTGAAAGGCTAGGGTCTAGAAACCGTAATTCACCTGTGTCTGTTTGTCCGTCTGTCTGTCTGTCTGTAACAAGCGCTTGGCACAAATGACCATTTTTATGGCACAAATGGCCATTTTTATGGCGCAAATGACCATTTCCATGGCACAAATGACCATTTCTGTGGCACAAATGACCATTTTTATGGCATAAATGACCATTTTTATGGTACAAATGGCCATTTCCACAGCACAAATGACCATTTCCATGGCACAAATGACCAATTCTATGACACAAATGACCATTTTTATGGCACAAATGACCATTTCTATTCCCTAGACTGAAAGGAAGGGTCTAGAAACCGTAATTCACCTGTGTCTGTCTGTCCGTCTGTCTGTCTGTCTATCTGTCTGTCCGTCTGTCTGTGTCTCTATCTGTCTGTCTGTCTATAACAAGCATGGCACAAATGACCATTTTTGCTGCACAAATAACGGTTTCCGTGGTAGAAAAGCACCATTTTTTTTTATCCAAATGACCATTTTTGCGGCACAAATGACCATTTTCATGGTGCAAATGGCCATTTTCATGACATAAACAACCATTTCCGTGGTACAAATGATCATTTTTATGGTAGAAATGATCATTTCAATGGCACAAATGACCGTTTTCATCGTGCAAATGGCCATTTTCATGGCACAAACGACCATTTATGGGGCACAAATGACCATTCTAGTCCCAGAAAACGGTTTATACTCATAAAGCATGATGTTGTTTCAGATGCATGTATAGAACGGCGAGTAGTTGAGGAGGGAGGCTAGTCCCTTCATTGAATCTGGGTGCTCAATGTGAAGCACATCCTTCTCTTCCTTCTGTCAGTCTAGGGCCCAGTGAATCGACTTTCGATGTCGATGAACGTTACTTGTTTTAATATAGTTTAGGATATTCGACACAACTGTTTTATCATGTTTTCTCTTTCTTTCACTTTGCAATATGTTATTATACTCTAATTAGAGGATCTTTTGTCGAACATCGAGAATGTTTTCATTTACGTAGAATACACTGAACAGGACGTGTCGAACAAAACTTTTAAGAATTCATGGAGTTTCACTATACTTTTTGAGTATCATGTGAATATACAAACTCTCACTAAAGTTTCGTAATCTGATAG